CTTCTTATAGGCATCACCCAGTGACTCTCCTTCCTTCTGCTTAAAATTCACAATATTATATCTTTTGCGAATATAAATAGAAGCGGGAAATTACTCATCAAGAAAAGTCTTCTCCATCTGTTCCCAAGTGGTGATACATCCAGTAGGTAATGAGTAAAACCACTCTTCAGCGTCTTCAGACAACTTGAATAGGGACATCCTTAATTTCTTTGCTTATTCAGAATGCCCCTCAATCTTCAAAGTAGTACTAATGATGAGGAATCTCTGCAAATGCTTATTGGCATCTTCATTGATCTTTCCGAGGAAATATCTATTCTCGAGTTGGCGGATGGTTGAAGGATGCAGTTGAAAATTTGCAATATTAACCGGTTGATTCACAATAGTAAACTGACCTGATGCATCATTTTCTCCTCTGTAATCCCCAAAAAGTATCTCTGGTGGTGGTGGGTTTTCACCCATAGTTTCTGGTTCTGATTCCGAACCTGAGTCTGTATATCAAAAGGAAATTCAGTTGGGGGTTTTCCTCGCATGAAAAGGTTAGGAAAAATCAGAAATAACAAAAATATAAAAATTACAGAAAAGTAATTTTAGTTGCAAAGCAAGAAAATTCTAGCTGAACTCAAATTACACTCAATAACTAGGCAGTCCCCGGCAACAACGCCAAAAACTTGATAGGAAAAATAGCAAATGTACTATTTTTTCCTTACAGTAATAATGGGAAATTCCCAAGATATTGATCTCAAAGACTGTTTTCAATTATTGAGTTAAGTTCGTAGTTCAATTAAACAAAAACTTAGTTTGGGGTTTTGGTTTTGATATTGTCACTTAACAAAAAGCAGAAATATAAAATGGTTATTTCATAGATATGAGGAGAATGCTAGAGTAAGGTGTATAATTTTCCCTATAACTATCTTGAATCTTGATCTCTTTAACAAGTTCATGTCCTTCAAATACCAGCCCTTTAGATTATCCTCCCCTAAGTCCTTAGTGGGTAAACTATTAACCATCCATCCTAAATCCTAAGTCCTTATAGATTTCTGATGGAGTCAAGCCTTTATTTTATCAAGGATTAAATCTGGTAACTATAGGGTATCCCTAGTCCTAGGTGATATCTACTATAGTCTAAATTTACAAAAACCTTAAAAACCGCGGTCCAGGTGGTTGTTAACCGTAAATCAATCCTAATTTGTCCGATCAGGAAGGCATAAAAACATTGTATAATTAAATTGAATAGAGAAGAATTTATTAAAGAACTCAATAATTCATAAACATTACATATTCAAATCAGGGACACCCCCTAGCATTGGAGGGTTTAGCTACTCATATTGTTCAAAATAATTTCAATGATACAAAGATTAAACATTACAGATAAATGATAAACTTTGATCTTCAATCGCTGCGGCTCATGAAAAATCTCTGTTCTCCAAGAATCTCATATGTTGCTCTCTCCAATCATCAATTCTTCGTGCGGCAAAAAGTCCCCTAATTCCTCTTTCAAACTTGGCTATATAGTGGACAATCAATTTGTCTTGATCGGAAATACCCAAAATGCCCCTTTGGGTCATAAATAGTGAAAAATCATAAAAAACACTTAAAATCAGTGTCACTGGCCAACACGGCCCGTGTCAGGTGACATGGCCGCCCGTGTTGGCCATCAGGTAATTTTTCTACTCCAGGCATGCTGACACGACCCGTGTCAGGCAACATGGCCGACCGTGTCAGCCAGTGTTTTCCACGTTGTCCAAGTCTTCCCCTTGACACGGCCACCCGTGTCAGGGTCTATTTTCCACGGTTTCCACGTCTCCCTCCTGACATGGCGCGTGTCAGGTGACACAGCCACTCGTGTCAAGGCTCCTATAGCATTTCCTCAGAAACTTAGAATTATGCACTTTTTCTGTCCCGATTGGTCTTGTTTTATTCTTTTGAACCTGAAAACACGAAAACACAAAACCAAAGTATAATATGCGGTAAAAAAAATTAAAATCTCGATAAGTAAAAGAAATGATAACTAAAATAACTGCTAAATATCCGTGTAAAAACCACTGACCACTCGACGCCTTTATTTATTGACACTCCTCCATGTTGCCTCTTTGCATGGATATTTCTCACCAACGGCTATTTCTAAGCAACACTTTAGCAAATGTGAAAGAAAACAAAATATATACAATATACACAAGTATAGAAAGTATGTAAAAAGCAAATATATACACTATAAACAAGTAAGAAAAACATGTACAAATATACAAGTATGAACAAATATACGATATGTACAAAGCTTAAAAACTTGAAAACTATTGCAATGTGATTCAATATCTAAACACCAATTCCCAAAAATGGAGATATTTTATTGTTGCAATAAATCAAAAAAGAAAATTAAGTATTTTTAGTTTTATTTTATCGTCTCCACATGGATTAATGCTAGGGAAAAAATGTCGTTCAAAAGTCTCTACGTCTCTGAGCTTAGTTTTGAATAGTTTAAAAGTGAAAAATGAGGAAATTAAAATATATGAACAAGAAAATAAATACATTCTTTGGAGAGGAGAGAACTCATTCGGGATTGAATTTCATCTACCCGTCAAATACTTAAGCCTACTGATCAGTTGTATGCAACCTACAACACTCGTCAATATCATAACGTATCACCCACAACCTAGGTTATGTCTAATACTAAGTTGCGAGAACAACCGTATTGTCTCATCAACAATGTCTTACGCAACTCAACAACACAGAAGCATTAAGAACATATACCCATTGTGAATATTATACCTAAATCTATCTCTAGAGTTTAGAAACCAATAAATGCTCATTCAAGAACAAGATTCGAACTGTATATGTCTATAGCAACTCAAATCCTAACACAAATCAAAAACAAGGATAAACATCAATATTAATTTGGGAAATAAATATAATGCAATGCCATAATCAGTACTTATACATAAAATCATAGTAAACTTACATATAAGCCCCAACAAATGGAAACTATAAAGGGAAGAAAACAGAAGAATCGAAATCTCTAGCAGTGTTAATCACGACCAAAGAAGCTTCAATCCCGGATCATCAGATTGCAACCTCCATTGTTGTTGTCAAAATTCTCTAAACTCAAAGAATGTTGGTGATGGAGTTGGGACAAAAAAAACCCAAAATGTGTTCTAAAACTTTATATACAAGTTTTTTCCCAGACAAATTCGCCTGGCGCTCACAAAATTCATTCGACGAATTGTCACTTTTCCAAAATGCAGTGCAAAAACAGGCAAACTTGCCCCGGGCTCGCCTGGAGAATTTGACAGCAATGGGAAAAATAATCTCTTGATATCTAGAGCTCTCTCTTTCACTCCTCACTAAAAGTGTCTCATGCACTAACAAATTGGTATCTAGAGCCCCGATTAGGTTCTTGATCGTGTTTCTAAAAATCACATGTCGGGGATTGTGTTTTCGAGATCGTGGGTTCTTAATAAATAGCTATAAAGATGAACTGTAACAATGAAAATATTCCAAATTTTCTTCCAATTCTTGACGACAAGAATTAGATCTGATGGAGAAAACAGATGTAATTTCGGCTTTCAAGAAACCCTAGAAGTGGTTACTAATAACGTTCATGAACTTGCTGACAACGAAACTGATGCTCAGAGAGTCAGTCACAAGGATGCCAAGAAGAAATACTACAAGGGTGCGTTTTATATTTAGTTAGTGGTAGATTCAAAAAATTTTGATTGAATTTCTCATGCTGAATTGACGAAGGAGGCGTGATATATTCTTGTCAAGTATTATGAAGGAGGTGAGAAGGTTAAAACTGTCAAATTGCAGACGTTGTGCAGATAATATGAATTACTGCAAATGGGAGAAGATGAAAAGAATGCAGACTATGTCTCGAAGGTGTGAAATCTTATCCATTCTCATGAAAGGTTGTGGTGAAATCTTAAAAAGAATAATAGAAAAAATAATTATTGTTAAACTGAATTACAATATGTCTATTTATATATAACTATGTAATTTGCATAATCGACCTTGTAAACGTACAAGAAGAGCCGCAACACAGGGCCTCCAACTTTTAGAGGCCTCAAAATCGGTCTTGGGTTTTAAAAAAATTAAGATTAATCAATATTATATAAAATATGTTCAACATTTATCACATAGTACATTGTCCTCAGGGGATAGCCTTCCCGTTTTATCAATCTAAAGTCCACAATTCACTTTTAATGTTTTAAATTCCTTAATTTAATTTATTATTTAAAAAAAAATATACTACAACATGGAATCGAACCACATTCATTAACATTAACCTTCAAATAATACAACTTTACCATTACACCAATTTACTCTCTCCAATCACTATTATAAATAAATATTCTCTTTTTTATATTAATTTATATTAATTAAATAGAAACTTTTATATTTTTATATTTTTTTTCAATTTTGTAGATAATAGCATTTTATTTTTACTATTATTTACCATTTAAATAAAAGATATTTTTTTTAATTCATAAAATTTAATTTATTAAAATTTAATTTTAAAAATTAAAACATGACCCTTCAAAATATTTGAAACAGTCCTAATAACGTGTATACTAAATAATAAACTCTAACTAACTTAACCTTATCCTTGACAACTTAGATTATATCTTAACAAAATTTACATTAATAATAAATTATGTGATTTAAAAATATCACACACACATATATAATATATATATATATATGGATAGAAAAGTTGTGGAAGCAAGGTGGAAATTGTGACTATATAGTGTGTCATGGCTGTGCTGTAGTCAGTCAATGCTGACTTTTATCTTTCACACTGACAAAACACTTCACTTTTCATATGCTGTTTTTCTTTCATACTAAAAAGTTGACATTGCATGGAATTTAATAACACCGCACTTTCCATGCTCTTTCTCTTACTCTCTTCTCAATCGTATATAAGTATTCATCAAACCTCACCACACACATATCCACAAAAACTAAATCTGCCTCCTATTTTCTTCTCTCCTAGCCATAGCTACGCAATGGTAAACCTTCACAGAAACCAGTATCTTGCAGCGACTCTGCTACTTTCTCTCCTAATTTTGTTGATATCTTCTTCATCATCATCTGCTAGACCCTTGAATGATTTCAGCCAGCTCGCAGCGACCTCAAACCTTGAACTTCCAAGCGACAGGGTGGTGGTGATGAGGCCGGAGAAGAAAGCACACGTGTCAGTAGTAGCATGCGGTGGAAAAGTACACGGGCCATTCATCCTGAACATGCTTCCTAAGGGGACTGTTCCTCCTTCTGCACCAAGTAAAAGACACAATAACATCAACAACTAGCTACCTGCTTACTATTAATTAATTATTCTCAAGTGCAACTCAATTCAACACATTGGGTTGCGTCTTCTCACTATTATTTCATTTTTTCGTTCATGTTTCTTTTTTTTCTTCAATTGTGTAAATATATATTTACACTAAATTATACTTTTTTAGTATCTATTTACATCTATATACAAAGACCATATTTTCCTTTCATATTTAGTTTATCATCGCACTAATGTTTTGATTTTAAATAACTCTCTCGGTTGTCGCTTGTCGTATAAAAACTTTCGCCATACAAATTAAATACAATATCAAAATTTCCGTGAATTAAAGAGATGTGAATAAGAAGGATGTTGTGGAAATAAATCATAAGAAGTAAAAAACATATAGCAAAGAATCAAAATATTTTATAGCAAGATCTTAAATGTTAAAACACGAACTTATGGAAGAGGAAGAATGGTAACACGTTTTAAATCGTAGAAGAGCTTACATTAGGAAGAACCGAACCAGAACCAGCAATAGAGAAAGAAGAAGGAAAGTGATCTGACCTGATCAGACTTGGACCGTCACGGCTGACTCCGAGCTGAAGTTTTGAACGAGGTGGGGGATACCTGCAAGGCACTCCGATGCTGAAGTAAGTAAGAGTACGAGCAGGCAAAATGTGAGTATATGTGATAGAATGAATACCTGACCCTCTGGAAGCAGAGGGTATTTATAGCCCCCAGCGCTGGGCCAAGGTTCCTTCATTGGGCCGGGCAGGTTAGGCCCAATGGAGGAACTGCCAGGTTCTACGTGCGTAGTGGGGACCCGCACGTGGTCCCCTTCCTGAATGTCCTGCGTGAAGTGCGGGCGGACAAGGACGCGGTCTTTTCGGGGTCCCGTTGAGAGTGCAGTGGACCGTGTCCGCTGCTGAAGGAGTGCTCGAGCTGAGGTCGAGCTGAATAGCACGAGGACGGGGATGTCGCCCAGTGACGTATGTCAGGCATAGCTATGGTCCTTAGGTCGGCGTGACCCCTAGCAAGTCCGTTTGGATTGGGCCTTTATCGTTGCTTTTGGGCCAACCCGGCCCAGTCCAGAACAGGAGCCCCCCAAGTCGTGGTTCCTTGAGTTAGGAGTCATGACTTGATCTTAGGTTGCTTCCGTTTCGGGGCCCCGTATCCGGGCAAGAGATGCAGCTCCTCGTGGGGTACTCGAGGGTTTCCCCGTATCGTGCTCGTGGACAGGTTCCCTGCGAGGAATGCTCGGGGATTCCTCGACAGCCTGCGTCTGTCGAGCACGCGAGGTCTCTTTTGGGAACTGTGCCGCCACCCTATGAGGATAGGGTCATCATTGCCTAGGGGAGCTGTGCGTCGAGGAGGGGAATCCGTGGTTGCCCGAGGTGACGTTTGGTATTCCACGTCATCACTATAAATAGGGTCCTTGGGACCCATAACGTGTTTCCATTCTTCGCGCCTCTCCTCTTCACTCTATTTCTGCTGTTGCTGTTCTTCCCGGATTCTTATAGGACCGCCGCGATCTCCGTCGCTGATTCCTTTCCTCCATCGTCAAATCTCCTTCTTGATTCCAAGTAAGTGACTTGTCTCCTTTGTTTTTCTGTTGTGATGCATGATTTTTCATTGTTTTTAGACATTTAGAGGCTGTACGCCTGGGATTAGCCCGGTAGATTCATATGTAGCTCGACGGATCCATACGTATGTCCGGCAAGCGCATGCTTGTGCCCGGTAAATGCATAGTTTAGGTTTTAATCTGCAGCGCTGCCCGGGGTCTTCATGATCCAGGGCGCCTAATTCATGATCGTGCCCGGTAGACTCATAACTCTAGCTCTAGGCTTTATGATTTTGCTCGCCATGTTCATGCCCTGGGTCGACGTATTCATGAATGACCGAGTTGTCGGTCTATTTAGGCGACTTGTAGGAGGATCTGTCGAGGTATCTAGGAGTCGGGGAGATGGCTGCTGTTTTTTGTTCCAAAACACCAACTTTGCAGTCGCGCGTGGAGCGACGTGGTTTGTCGTGCCCTTCATCTCGTCCGTTATGGCGAGCGTATGGTTTTGCGCCCAATTGATCGGTTTCCCGTGCTTTGTAGGTAACCATGGCGGACGAACCGTGCTCTTCAGGGCGGCCCGAGGTGGAAGAGCAAAGTGCCGACGAGAATGTGAGTTTGGTTGACACCGTAGAGGACCCTCTGCTGGACTGGGTGAGTGTCGAACCTAGAGGGATAGCTTCGGTTTATAGTCGACGTAACCTAAGGGCATACACTATCCTCGAGGCGGGCCACGACCAGCCCGGTTTCCAGAAGAATTTCGTGGTCACCCGGCCATCTTTCACTGCTCGAATTTGCTCGGTGTTCCCCGAGTACAATTTCCCTATGTATGAGATTGCCTTTAAAGACCTTGGGTTACAGCTGCCCTTCAGTGATTTCCAGGTCGGGGTCTTCAGCCACCTGGGGCTGGCCCCGTCGCAGCTTCACCCCAATTCACTCGCGTTTATCCGGGCGTTTGAGCTGACTTGTCGTTTTCTGAGGATTGGGGCGACCATACCCCTCTTTTTCAGAGTCTACCACCTACAGCGGCAATCCCGGGGAGGAAAGCATAGTTGGGTTTCCCTGAAACAGTCGAAGAGACTTTTCAGGATGTACATGGACTCCGTGCGGGGTTTTAAAGACAAGTGGTATGTGGTGAGGCCGGTTACCACAGCAGGTTTGGAGTCCGTGTATGAGGAGGAAGCGGTCATAACCGAGGATGACGGGGAGGCCCTTTTGGACGGTGAAGGACGTCCGGTGTTGGGACGCACGGCCAAATTTCCCGTACATTGGATCTCGAGGCATTACGAGCACGGTACAGGATATTACCATACGTCCGCGGGCGATATGAGCTCCGAAGACGAGAAGGCTTACGATACTCTTTGTCGGTACGTTGATAGCTTCCACCTCGCCAGATGGGCCACGAGGGAGGGGGAGGATATTCTGGACGATGAAGGTTATCCGACCTTCAAGGCTCGACCGATTGACACGAAGGCACTCGTGGAGTGCCAGACCTTTGGGCAGGCCGCGCGTTTGCTAGGTCGTTTATTGTTTGAATTTCTTTACTTGTTACTTGTTTGCCTATTTGGTCGGCACTAACCCGGGTTCTTTCGTGCAGGTTCGATGGCTGGGCAAAGGGAGAGGCTCTTGAAGTTGTCTTGTGATAGGAAGGTGAACAAGAGGGTGGTGAGGCTTCCTCAGGCGACGAGGATGGGCCCGCCACATAGCCCGGGCATATCTCAGGCGACGGGGGTGGACTCGCCACCTAGCTCGGGGGCTGCTTCAGGAGGGACTCCAGATGTTCAGGAGGTCGAGCCACACATCGACCTGATACAGAGAAAAAGGAATCGGGTGGAAAGTCAGCCGGAAGTCGGCGAGGACTCCAGTGCTGTGAGGTCCTTCGGGTTGCCCCTTGCTTTAAGGAGGAGGGTTTCTTCGAGGGGTTTCCTTTGTCTGTGAATCCCGACGAAGCTGAAACCATCCGCCGGATGAACAAGGAAATCCGGAGAAGACACCTGGCCGCCAACATGGTCGGGCTGGTGAATATGGACGAAATGGCCGTTGTACTGGCCGAGGAGGGGGAGGATGCTGACCGTGTCAAGGAGTTGGAACAGGAGAAAGCTGCCCTCACCTCGACTTCGAGAAAGCTGAAAGCTGCCCTGGAGCGCTCCAAGGAGATGTTCCGCGAGCAAGCTGAGCTGCTGGTGGCGGAGACGGAGGCGCTGACTCTGGAGAGAGAGAGCTCGGGGAAACTGGTCGAGGAGAGGGACCTTCTTCGTGCGGATTGTGAACGACTGGAACTCGACAACGGTCACCTTGCCAGGGAGGTCGAGGACCTAAAGGCTGCTATGCTTCCTGCCGAGGATGAATCGGAGGACACAGCTCTTCTGAGGAGTCGATCGGAACTGGTCGATCGTATTCAACTTCTCGAGGGGGACTGCGTCGGAGCTATGGCGGACGGCTTCGAAGCCGCGGTCAGCCAACTTTCCTTGTTAAATCCCGGCCTGAACACTGAAGGGGTGAGCCATATGTCGCAGATTATCGATGGTCAGGTCGTGCCTCCGCCCGACTCTCCTATTGTTGGTGATGGTAGCTCGGGGGAAGCCGAAGTGTGAGATAGTGGTGGGGCCTGCGTGCCTCGTTGATGTTTGTTTTGGGCCTGCATGCCCGTTCACATTCTTTTGGGCATGCGCGCCCGTTCTTTGTATTCCTGAATATTGTCGGCCTTTTTGGTCGGTTTACATCTTATTTTCTCTGTTGCCTACGGGCATTTTTGAATGAATGCTTTGTTTCAATTTTGATTGTTTGCCCGTGCTTGCGTTTTATGTTTTTGCGCAAAATTTGGCCCAAGTTATGGGCCCGAGGAGTGCCCGTAAGTGGTTGTGATTTTGCTGGCAAATTTTCCTGTCTTTTGTTCGTGTACGTGCTCGGCCTCTTCTCGATGGCCAGAGTCACCTAAGTGGTGAACTCGAGGGGAGAGACTCCTTTTTGACCCTTTTAGATGGCCCGACATTCTTGAAGCTTTGTCGGGCAGACGGAGCGAAGTCGCTCGGTCGGGTACATGGCCCGGTCGGGACTATTTGCCCTTGGCGTGAACTGCTCATCGCGAGCTAGGTGTTCTGCCTTATAGGTACTTCGACGGTGGAGCTCGGTAGAGGTGTCCACGTCGGGCATTATCCTTGTTCTTACTTGAACCAAGTTATGCGATTTGGACGTAGGTCGGGCCCGTACCTTGGCCTCTCTACGGGGTCGGACGTTTCTCCTCGTTGACTGGGCGCGGGTGCCGACAGTCTAGGGTCCTCAGTGTTGGTAGTTTTTAACTATAGTACTGCTTTAGTTTAGCAGCGTTCCAGGGTCGTGGTAGCGGCTCTCCGTCTAATTTCTCGAGGCAGTACGCCCCGGTACCGGTGGTGCCGTGGACACGATAAGGCCCTTCCCAGTTCGCGGCTAGCTTCCCTTCGCGGGAGTCTTTCTGGTTCCTTCGTAATACCAGGCTG